CCTGCTGAAGTCCAGGTGTGGAGGTGGGATGAAGGCTGAAGAGCAGAGACAGTTGCTAGGGAACAACCCTCCCTCTATGAGCTGTGGTCTCCATGGGAACCAGAAAAAACATTAGCAGAGACCAGGGTCATCCTTGCTGACTGAAAAACAATGAGGAGAGTAAAAGGCTCATGTCTCATGAAACAGCTGTGCTCAGAAGTTCTCATCACATACACGGGATTTCTTGGAGACTTTTGTAACACAGTCATGATAATCAACAAGATTGTATTTCAGCACAACTGGATCTTCCAGCATTTCCAAATGCTTCAAATGAACTCACTGACCCCCATCAGAAAGGAAGAGGAAGGTGCCCCCATTTTCCACATTAGAAAAGGGGAGATGGTGGGCTGGCAAAAGTTCTTACATTGAGTCAATGACAGAACCACAGCTTGCCCTCCTGTGTCCAGCACCCAGTGCCTTATTTCAGCCCTGGACTTTTCATCCATTCTGCTCCACCATGGACCTGAGCTCTCACCAGGCCACTGGAATTTCTGCAAGTCTCCAGTGAAGAGTGCAACTCTCCTTCATGTTGCAAAGCCACTTTTCCCACCCAGCACAAGCAGGTCACAGGCAACAGACAAGAATTAGAAATATTCACAGATGTATCATCTTAGATTTTATTCATTGTAAGAAATCACAAGATTGATAGAAAATCATTGTCATTCTTAGAAAAACTGGCAAAACATAAATCAGTGTGGTTTTTGTTTACTTCCACCTCCTCCCTTTCCCTGTACCCTGGGCTGGAGACAGCTGCTAGGTCTCATTGCCCAGGAAGCAGCTCTCCCTCTAGGCCTTGTTGCGCTTCAACTCCGAGACCTTGTAGCGAGGTGGGGCACGGTGGAACCACTCTGACCAGGAACCATCGTAAACAGCCACATCGCGCTTGCCGCACAGGTAGGCTGCCAAGGCAATGTGACATGCCGTAACACCTTTGCGGCACGTGGCTGTCAGTGGCTTTGAGAGATCCACTTTCTTCTCACGGAATATTTGTTGGATCTCCTCAATGCTCTTCTCATGGCCAGTTTCTGTTAGGAATGAACGGAAGGGTATATTCACAGCACCAGGGATGTGACCAGATTCCAGCCCTGCAAGAGCAAACAAAAAAAGGAAACACGAGCAAGAAGACATTAACATAGGTGATGAAAGACACCTACAAAAAAGACATTAAAGAGACATCACTGCAGATACTCCCACTCCCTCCAAGATACTAGTTTGTTTCAGCTGATGATGAAGATGCAAAGCAGTATGGGCCTAAAAAGAGGAGGACAAAGATTACTCAACTTTGCTGAAGTCAAAACTTCCAGAATATTTAACAAACTATTCCCCCCCAAATGCAATGAGAGGCAGGAATCTGAAGAAGCCCTGGACATGACAAGAATCAAAGAACCACCACAGAAAAGATCCTAACAAAGGCATTAAGGGGGATCTGTGTAAAGAGAAACGCAGCAGCGCATTTCTGACCTTCCCCAAGTATGCCAGCAGTGTGTAGTGACACAGCTTTCAGAAGCAGGAAGCGTGGCCCATATGTGAAATTTGTGAAAGTAGCTATCTGTTCACAGTTTAATCCTGTGACACTTTAAAATCATATTTCAGAAAAGTAAAGCAACCTTAAAGTCAGCCACATTACCGCTGAGGTGGCTGTCCTGGGGCAATGGGGTCAGAGAAGTGAGAATTTAGATTTCATATCACTTTTTATCCAGCCCATGGATGAAATCAGTATGGGTTCTGTTTTTCTATGGGTATAAATGACCACTTCAGACAAGCTGAAAGTTGCATCTCAAGAACAAGGTCATTGGAGAGAAGCAGATATAAAAATATGATGGATAAGATTTTCATCAGGCTCTTAAAATTCAAGTTCTGTCACTATAGGCTTAATCAAAGTCCATTACACTGAATGGAAGCTTTTCCATTGACTTTTTGAGGCTTTGTATCAAGTCTCATTGGGACAGGAAACATTACATATTACACTGAAAATGCATTTCAGGGAATGGTTCCTTGCTAGGTTGGAACTTCTAATGAGACAGCGCTGGGAAAGTCACATAAATAGTAACCTATTTCACTGACAGCTTTCCACTTGCCTAAGTCATCAGGGCAACTGATCTCAGGAGATGGGAGAGATTGGGGCAGGGAACCTTTGTCACATTCAAATGATTAAAGTATACCCAGTCAGAGACTGGCATCACACGTCACAATGGCACCAGTTTCATCGCTGGCGCAGAGTGATGTCATGACATGATGAGACATGTCATATGGGGAAAACGGGGTTTGGGGAGGGTATTGAGGAGGGAATTTTTGTTCTGTTGGACAAAGAGTGAGAGCCTAAACACAACCAAAGCTGCCCTGAGTCAGCTTCACAAGATCTCTCCCTGCTCCAGATGGACCCTCTTTGTCTTGTTTCATCTCCCCGAGTGCCTTAGAAATCTGGCACTGTTGTCTGCTAGTGACCTCATGCATCCTTCAGAAGTGTTCAGCATTACAGGGAGAAGTCAGGAGAAAAACTGCTGACTTCTGGAGGGACTAACATTTAAAAAAAGAAAAAAAAAGACAGTGTTTTGGACTGATGCTTTCACCACATTTTTTCCAGTTCCAGAAAACAACAGTTCATCACTTCAGTGCAGAGAACTGCAAAACCCACGCTCATTAATGTAACGTCTGCATGACAGAGGGGAAATAACAATTATACAAGAAATGAGTGTGAGAAAACCTTGTTGGTAGTTCTCATACTGCAGAGCTTACTGGAGAGTTACATGCCTGGGTTAGGCTACCGCTTTACCACAGAGTGAATGGTCCCGATCCTGCCATTTGGCAAGGCTCTGTTGCAGTACTGGTGATCACCCCAATACTGACAAGTCTGTGAGCTGCGGAACAATGCTCTCACTCCATCCTCGGGCACTGGGAAGTGTACTGAGATCAAGAAGTCCTCAGGACTGAACTAGAAGGGCCAGCTCTTGCTCAAGGCAGCTTGCTGGGCCGCCAATTCAGTTCTTAGGTGTCCCAGGTCCCATGGTCATGACTGCTTTTCTAGACTGTTCACACACCTTAAAATAGGTAGGTTTGTACCCTCTCTTATTGGAGACTGACATGACATATACTCACCACTCTCAAACAACTCTCCAGTTAGGAGCTGAGCAGATCTGAACAGAACAGTCTCATCTGAGAGCATTTTTTACTTTGATCTATAAAGACATTTCCTTGCTTCAGAGACTCAAAAGTCTGTTGGAGTCAGAGACCAAAGCTTGCACTCTGAGAGCGAAAGATGGGGAATTCTGCAGGAGCTGCATTTACTCATGTGTGTGGGTGTTCAGCTGAAAGAATGAGCTGACATTGCACAACCACAATCCCTTGGACTGCCTAAGAAGCACTCTTGAGTGGTTGAGGAAGTCTTATCAGCTCTCTCTTTGCTAGGACAAGAGCAGAGAAACACAGCACTGGAAGGCAAGGCTGGACGCAGCTGGGATCTCAACACAGGAGAGGATACATCTGCTCCTGCCTCATACAAGGCAGAGCATACTCCATGCCAGATTCATGCAGTCACACTTAGAAAGTCCTGGAAGTAACCACAGGATTACAGAGCCTGGCTCCCAGCTACTGCAGTGATCACTTTATAGGCTCCCTCTCATAAAAGTATCCATCTCAGAACCAGTTTGGATTCCTGCCATGAAAATTCCAGCTGAGGCACCTCCTTGCTCATGTGAGGAGGAGTATTCCTTTCCAATGTTAAGTTCATCACAGTCAGTCCATACATCATTTATCCTTGAGCTAACACTGCCCTGCGGCTGAAACAGTTTCTCTCCCTTTCTGCTACTGTTCCAACATACTGACGGCGAGCACTCAGCACTCCCAACAGCCTTGTGCCCTTAGCCTAAAACCAGAAAGAGCTCGTTAGATACACTTTTCCCTGCTTCAGCCACCCTAGAAACAGTTCTAGGTGAACCACCGGGCTTCTGCATAAGGAAGTGGCATTTCCTAGCATGTCGACTGGTAGACAGAATGTTGATAACTGCTGTTAAGGCCAAATCGCATCTGAGGTTCTTGTACCCAACCAATTAATCCAAGTCTTACCCTCTTCTATTGCTTCCAAATGTGGGTCTTCAGCTTGTAAGAGAAACACAAGGAATTAAGAGTTTCAGGCTACTAAGCATCCAACCTTGCTCTCTGTAGCATTACATTTCCTGCCACTTCTATCACTGCAGGTGGTACCTGACATAATTACTCCCCATGTGATCATTTAAACCTCCCCCAGGCTGTGCCAGCAGCACATTTCAGTAGCAACTCCCTATTTTCAATGCCTCTATGATTCAGAAAAATATGAAAGACAACATAGAAGCGTAATGATGGGACCACGCTGGCAAATCCCAGCCCCACAGATCTGCTTTCAGCATAAGTGGTTCTTATCTCCACTACCTCCCTTTCAGCCAGTTTTTTTGGAATTTAACAGTATTTGTGCTATTTCCCCTCTTCTCACATTAAACCAATAATTGCCCCTCTAATATTAAGTCCAAAGCATTAATGAAGTCCAGATGGAACAAGTCTACCTCACAGGCATTTCCAACAGCTGGAAGAAAAGATGATCTATAACTTCCAGGCATGCGTTGTTTCCATTTCTCTCAGGTGGCAAATCAATTCTGTTGGTAAGGAAACAGAGCCCTTAGCTGCAGTGCAAGTTTACCAAGGTATTTTACTCAATTTTGCCTTCATTTCAATTATTCTTGAAGAGTCTTCTGAAAGCCTTCCAGTCTATCCATGTTGTGATAAAAGATCAACAGCTGCCAAGGCTGTGCTGTACCTCCTATCCTAAATACAAATACAAACTTTGCCGGTGTTTCTGTCCTGCAGAGCCATGCTCTGATTAAATTTGTTAAATTCTTGCCTCATGGAGTTGCAATGTCACATGACTGATTTTTGACACAGATTTAGGACAGAGATCATCTGCCTCACAAATGTGAGCATAGAGATATCTTTTGGTTATACTCCTTCTTTAGAAATTAAAATTTCTGCTTCTTTCCCCTTCTTCTTGCTACCCCTCCCCCTACTCTGCATTTATCCTCAGAAGAAAAAAAAAAAAAGGGTAGCACAGACTCAGTATAATTCTGAGACCGTACACAAATAATCTTTCATCTGGAACCCCTGCTAACTGCATAGCAACCCTATTTACCCTTTCTCTCCTTGTTCTCTTTTTATTCACTTTGCTCCAGCAGTTTTTGTTATTTGTTTTAATTCCTTTTGCCAAGCCTCACTCAGCATGGCTTCTGGCAATCCTCCCTTACAATTTGTAATGTGTAATGTGTTAACTTCTCTACTGCTTAATCCCATTTTCCACATCTGTTAAGATTCTCTGCTTAAATATATATTTTTTTGTTGGCTATTTATCTAGCTAAGACTACAGCCCCTTCTTTCTAGCCTTTCCCTTTGCGATGAAAGCTTCAGATGGAATTTCTTCATGTCACAAAGACAAAATATGTGCCTTGTCCACATTTAACTCCCCGTGGTCTTGGAGCTGGCTGGCTGCAGATAGCTGTTCCTTTCCAAATGCCTGCTCTGTTGCCTCGTTTTTTATCTCTCTCTTCCATTCAAATTGTACACCTCAGAAGGGACCATAAGTAATCTCACTTAACCTACCGTGAACTCACTGGAAGTAACACTTTAAGCTTGGTCCTAGCCAGCTCCCTATGAAGTCCTCATAGTCAGGTCAATACGCCTTCGCCACCAATGTCAAACTGCTGTGTGTGTATACAGCCACGAGAGTCAGCTCTAAGAACCAGCAGCGCCATGGTGCTAATTCTGGCAGCTGATGTTTGTCAGCCTCATCACATGAATGGACAGCTTTGGACTGTAGATTCCTGGGGGTTGAAACAGACTTTGACAGTCTCTCACTCTCCATGTTGTGCCTTGAGTATTACTTCACGGTCAAAGTAAAGCCAGGCCATTCCCAGCTCCAGACTCCACTTAGAGAAGAGAGGGAAGAAGCAGCAACATTTCATTTTCACTCCCACTGCCACGGAACATTCTAGCTGAGCAAAAGCTTTATGTTTAGAGCAGGGAGAACTGAGAGCTTGGAAAATGGGCAAACCCTTCAGAGTTGTGCATGTGCAAGGGAGGCAAGGACTACCTCAAGGCCGAGAATAAGAAGGAAAATTGTTGGAAGCTCATGAAATGACTTTGGGTTTGCTTTCTTTTTTAGATGATGGATTTCTTGTCTGGCAACTTTCGCCTCTTAGGTGTCTGCAGAAAAATGCATACAGAAATTTGCAACCTTTCTGTATGCATTTCTTCAGTTGTAATTTTTGTTCCTCAGTTTTCAGTGCCCAATACTTAGAGAGAGTCAGCACTGGTAACCATCATGGAATTATTTTCATCATCTGCCCCTGGATTCCCTGGGATTGTCTCAGTCCAGGCTGGTTCCACAGACCTGCATCCTACAGCGCCTGAGTAAGCGGGCCCTTGCAGAACCTGGCTGGGCCACTTCTGAATCACAGATAATGAGCAGGCCTGAGTTGCTAGGTCCTCCAGAAACACAGCACTGTGCAGGGACACCTTTAACCACTCCGTGCCTAGGCCAGGGCTGCACATCTGATGGGCTTACGCGGCACACCACCCCTGAGCATCCAAGCTTTTTCATCCAAAGCAATACCTGCATTTAAGACCTATGAGACTTGGCTTATAGAAACGCTGTCCTTTTTTCTCCACCCTGGCAACCTGGGTAAACCTCTCCCAGCAACTAAAAGTCAGCCATGTGTTATGGCTTATGCTACAGAGGTCTAGATCCCAGCAAGGTAGCTGCTGCATAAAAATAAAACAGGGACAACTAATTCTTACCACAAGGAACTGAAAAACTAAAGAGGCAAAAGAGTCAGCTGAAATTAGCCTCTTCTAGAGAGATGGCGTTCATGGAACTGGAGAGATTAATTGACTTAATTAGGAAGTCAAGAGCTGAGGCAATAATTAAACTGAAATCACCTGAGAACACTGCAAGTTCCTTAACCTCAAGACCATTCTTCTTCTCTAAATTGCAGGCAAAGTTTCTCCTCCCTGATTGGATGACCCTGGTAATTAATTAGCATTGATTTCAAATTGCTCTTATAGGTGTAAGCACTGTCTTCTACCCACTGCTGGCTGTAGCACAGCTACTTGCTAACCTGGTTCAGGAGGCTGTTGAGCTCCTGTGGAATGAGCAGCTGCAACTGGAGTGCTTCTCCTGCTGGTTCTGCTGCGGGAAGCAAAACCGGACCACTACAAATAAACCGTTCCATGCTGACTTATTTCAAAGGAAAAATCTGTTTTCAAGATGCTGTCAGGGGCTGTGATATTTGTCACCTGGTGACAAGTCCCCCTTTGGGAAAGAGAATGTGAACTCTAGCAGCTACCACCAAGGAGCGTTTTATTCACATCTTGAGGCTAAAATTCAACCTTCGCTTTGATGGGCTGCAGTAGGCAAAGAAACAGAGTGATAAGCCTAACTCCCCTTCTCTCCCTGCAACAGTCTCCTCTGTCACTCCCGTTACATTTCCCACCTTCCACACTGTCTTGCACAGGTTGAGTGTGTTTGGGCAGACTCACTGTAGACACTTCTGCAAACCACATGTACAGAGCCATTTACAGCCAAATGCTCCCGGGGTTCGGACGCAGGAATTTATTTCAGGACACAGCATCACACTCCACAGCTGTACAGGAGCACACATAAGACAACACCCAGAACAGAATGACAGCCTGTACACGAAGCAGCAGCACAGCACCAGCACAGGACCACAGAAGCCTGCCGCATGCCCGCTCCTGCAGTGTGGAGCTCTGGACTCAGGCCCAACAACTGTTGCTGAGCTTTTCTGTGCTTTGTTTCAGTTTGAAACTCTGCATTTCTTTTTCAACCATTTCTTTGACTCCCTTTCAGAGGAGAGGTTATTCTGGGATATACCAAGGCTTAAATTACACAGTAAGGGCCTCCCTTTAACAACCAACTTGAATTTCATTCTAGGCACACTGCTGTACCAGCTGTCCCCACTGCACAGGGCTCCTCCCACCCCTGCTGCTTCTGTGTCCAGTGTTTGACCGAGGTAACAAAACCAATTTTTGTTCCTGTTACCTGGAGCACCCAAAAGAGAGAGGCTGACAGCCCATACATTCAGGAAGGGTTTGGGGCTTTTCTTAGTCTTGTTAGATTTAACGGCAGAGGGCAAAACAACAAAGATCAGCTCAAGCAACATTTGCTGGGAGCCAGAGCAAGAAGGAAAATGTCCCTTGGGTTACTGTACTGCCTAAAACCTGGGCTTTTGCTGGTGCATTCATTACGGTGCGGTGCCTGTATGAATACCGATAGTTTGTGCGTTGTCTGCTAGCGTTAGATAGGACCTGGAGCAAACCCCTGGGAGTTCTCACTTCTCGTGTTTGCATTCCGTCTGATTAGCTTCTGCGGGGTGTGGGATGGGGGATCCAGCAGCCAACTGACTGCAGACCTTTTCTGCTGCTCCCTCCTGCAGCTTTACAGCCAACTACGAGAAAAGCATTCTGTGTGGGCAGCGGGATCCGAATGCTCAGCTGTGGATCCCTGAAGGTAAATCAACGGGTTAGGCTGAGGCATGCCTGTGCACTGGGAAAATCTGTTTGCTGGCTGGGAGGAGCTGATATGCCTGGACTAGTATCGGCACTCTGGTGCGGGGGGCAGGGGGCGTTCCCACCTCCATTACCTTGGTCCAGCTCGGTCCCCCGGAACCGGCCCTCGGGGCGGGAATCCACCACCTGGAACCGCAGGGACCCCACGTTCTGCATCATCTCCTCGAAGGTCTTCAGCAGGGCCGTGTTCAGCCTGGCCTTGAAGACGGCCGGGGCGGGCTGGCTGACCTCGGCTGTGACGGGGTGGCCCTCCTTCACCCAGTTCTTGAAGCCGCCGTTCAGCACGGACACCTCCTGGTGCCCGAAGGCCCGGAACATCCACCATGCGCGGGGGGCATAGAAGGTGCCCAGCTCGTCCCCGTCGTACACC